ATTAAATACTTTCTTTTTTTTTTAACTAAAGCCACATTCACTATAAAATCTTGCTTTTGAATAAATAAATCTATATGAAAATTCCAAGTAACCTTCGAATTCACACTAAAAAAAAAAATTAAATACTTAGTAATGAGAATGTTCAATGCAAATAAAAAATAAGAAAAAATTAAATACTTCCTTTTTTTTTTTAACTAAAGCCATATTCAGTATAAAATCTTGCTTTTGAATAAAAGAATCTATATGAAAATTCCAAGCAACCTTCGAATTCACGCTAAAAAAAAAATTAAATACTTAGTAATGAGAATGTTTAATGTAAATAAAAAATAAGAAAAATTAAATACTTCCTTTTTTTTTAACTAAAGTCACGTTCACTATGAAATCCTTTTTATATTCTAGAATAAATTAAATAGAATGCAATAGAAATCTTATAAAAAAAAATATAAAAGCATGTAACATGTTTTATTATTTTTTTTTTACTCAAGGTATTCACCTCAATAAAACTACCTTATAACTATACTCTTTGATGTCGCAAAGAACTTCTCTTACAGATGCTCAAAAATATGAGCTTTGTCTATATACCTGTGATAATAAGACAACCCAGTCTGAATATGTAAAGTGGATTAATAATAAATGGGGAGTTAAAGTCAGTAAATCTACTATTACCTGAATTCTTCAATCCAAAGAGAATTGACTTTTCAATGAATTGGTAAATTTAGAAGCCAAGTATTATAAATCTGTTAATTTTCCAGAACTTGAGCTTGCGCTCAAAGAATTTATATTAATTTACCAAAACCAGACTATTTTGAGCAATGCTTTAATTATTGAAAAAGCCAAATTATTAGCTAATGAACTAAAAATTTCTGAAAGCAAGTTACAATTTTCCCAAGGATGGCTTCAAAAATTTAAAGAAAGAAATAGAATTCATCAAAAAATACTTCATAGTGAAGAAGGGTCTGCTGATCAAAATGCTATTGTTGAGTCTTTACCATTACTGTGAGATATATGTGCAAAGTATCCTCTTAACAGAATATACAATATGGACAGACTGGTCTATTCTATAGGTATTGTTTATTTTTTATAGGTCTATTTTTATTTTTATCTTATTTTTATTTATTCTATTGTATTTTAATTTATTTTATTTTTTTTTTTACAGGTTGAAACTAGATCATACCTTAGCAATATGACGCCTTGCAGGACACAAAAAAAATAAAGAATGTATCTCTATAGCATTATGTTCAAATATTAACAGATCTCATAAAATAAACCCTTATTATTGGCAAGTATGCTAACCCTCGGTGCTTTAAAAATGTAAAAATTAAAAATTTATCTATAACATATTGAAGTAATGCCAAAGCATGGATGCTTTTGGTTCTTTTTCAAGAATGGCTTCTTGATTTTGACCTTCAAGTTTTATAAAAACATAATGGCCAACATGTTCTTTTGTTGTTTGATAATTGTACTAGCCATGATATTAAGAGTTTAACCCTTAGATGTGTAAACATTCATTTTTTTTCTCCAAATACTACTTCAAAAATTTAGCCTATAGATGTGGGAATAATTATGGCTTTCAAAAAAGCTTATCGTCATTATTACCTTTGGTTAGTTATATAGATAAGCAAATTATATTACATGTAATAAGCAATTAATAATAGCTAACTATTTACTATACAGCACGAATTATAGTACTCTCCTATATCAAAGTTATTCCTTAAAAATTATATGGTTAAATATAAAATACCTGGGTGATATTCTATATAAAAAATTTTTTTATATAAAAAAACTACCCAGTACAGTACTCTAGGTACTAGTTGCAATTTGACAGTAGAGTGCATTATACCTAGGATACCATAATCCATGCTGTATGATTTTTTATTTTACTTTATTTGTCTATTTTATACTGTATTTATTTTTTTTTATTTATTAAATTAGGTAGTTATTAGATCAAGTTAAAGAAGAAAAATTGATTCAAGACCTAAAGA